CCCTCCACCTTTGGCTTGTCCTCCGCCTTTAGCTTGTCGTCCTTCTTCTCTTCCTTCTTCTCGCCCTCCACCTTTGGCTTGTCCTCAGCCTTTGGCTTGTCGTCCTTCTTTTCCTCCTTCTTATCACCCTCTGCCTTTGGCTTGTCTTCTTTTTTCTCCTCCTTTTTCTCGCCCTCCACCTTGGGTTTATCCTCTGCCTTCGGCTTGTCCTCCTTTTTCTCGCCCTTGTCCTCCTTCTTGTCTTCCTTCTTTACGGGCGGTTGCACGCCAACCTGTGCCGCACACACTGCTTAGCATTTCGTGGGGCGCTTCCGCAAGGAGCATGGGTGGAAACCTACAAGGCTTTCCAGTAAGGAACTCGCAACGTCTCAAGCAAGCCTGGGACAACGTACCCTAGGGATCCAAGTATACACATATTGCCTACACTGGGCCCCAAAGTCTGTAAATATTGGATTGGGCTATTTGGATCCCTAAGCCCTAAACCCCAAATCACTGCCTACACCTAAACCCTAAACCCTAAATCATTGCCTACATTGGGCTATCGGGATCCCTAGTGATATTCGAGATACATTGATCCGCCATTCGCCCGGGGCATCGGGTGTTATCCACCCCGCGAACTGACAATCTGGAAGTTCACATTAAGAAGGTACTACAGTCTTTCTAGAAGGTACCACCAAAAGGGGAGCCCTAAACCCTAAACCCTAAACCCTTAACCGCGTAATCCCCACGTAGTAAGCCCTGAATCCCATACACATAGGGCATAGGGATGACCAGTGAAGACTTACGGTGGATGGAGGACATCTCATTTAAAATCCCTACAGTATTTAGCTTCCTGGGCTACGTGCCCCAGGTGTACCGTTAAATAAACCCAAAAAAATATGCAGAACAATAGCCCTAAACCCAGAATAACAGCCATAAAAAAGGCCATGACTTTACATACTCTTGGGGCCCCAAACCCTAAACCCTAAACCCTAAGCCCTAAACCCCTAAACCCCTAAACCCCTAAACCCTAAACCTTAAACAATTTGGGTTTCCTTATTAAAAGCAGAACTGAGCTCAAGCTGACTTCACTCACGAGGACCGCTCCTACAAGCAAAAAAAAATATTCCTTAAGGGTCCAAGGACCCAAATAGTAGGGTCCCTTTAAAGGGGTTCTAGGGGGACTATATAGGGTTTAGGCTTAAGGGTCCAAGGACGGAAATCACAGGGTTTTAGGGCCCAGATACTATAATATTAATGGTATTTGGGTCCTTAAACCCTATTATTTGGGTCCTTGGACCCTTAGGGATTAGCTTCCCCAATAGGACAAGTAGGAAACCCATTAGGGTTTAGGGTTTAAGGCTTGTAGGGTTTAGGGTTTAGAGTTTAGGGGTTTTTACGGGTTAGGGGTTTAGGGTTAGGGGTTTAGGGTTGTAGGGTTTAGGGTTCAGAGTTTTTAGGGGTTAGGGGTTTAGGGGTTTGCGGTTTAGGATTGAGGGCTTAGGGTTTAGGGCTTGTAGGGCTTAGGGCTTGTAGGGTAGGGTTTAGGGCTTGTAGGGTTTAGGGGGAAAAAACATAATCCGTTACTGGGTTGCTGCTAAGGAACTTAAATTAAGTTACCATACTGGGAATATATAGTAATTTATTTATATATAGATACAGATATGAATAGAAATTTCCCCAGTATAGTAACTTAAATTAAGTTCCTTAAGATCAACTCAAGTGAGTCCCAAGAGCCCCGCTAAAGCCACCCGAGTGAGATTTTGAGAGAGACACCCTGACCGGAATATACAGGGCCCAGAATATATAGGGATTAGAACCGCCCTTGAAGAAGAGCCCCACTCCTTTACTCCCACCTGAGATTTCAGGTTTATTTGCTGATGATTCTTGGGAAATTGGCCGGCGCGCTACCGATTTCGAAGTTGCGGGGTATATGTTGACTTTTCGTGAGTGTGTTATCGTTTTCAAAAATCAAGTACCCTCCGGCACGAATCCAGTCCACATCCTTTACATATCCCATATGAGCGAAAAAAACACGAGTCCTGTACATACTTCCGACCTAAGAGGCTGAAACCTAAAGCCTGAAACCTGAGCTCCTCGTGCCTGTAGCCTCTACTCTTCTTAGGGTTTAGGGTTTAGGGTTTAGGGAACCCTAAACCCTAAAACCCTAAACCAGCCTCTACCCCTAAATCACAGGAAATAAGGCTGAGAGCTCCTAGAAGCCCGAAAATCTCCATCCTCACATTCGTCGGTACGACATCCGCCTGGAACCGCAGCCTCAATGTGGCGACGCACAAGACAGTGGGACTGTCAGCCGCGATGCTAGTGAGAGCCTGCAACAACCCAGTGTTGGTGGCTTCAAATCTATCTCCCCGTCTGACTATCACTGTCACTTCCTCGCAGCCGAAGGTAGCCGCAACCACGTTAGCGTCATCGGGAGCCCTCATCAGTGTTGAATTGACCGGCGCGTATTTGCTGTGCGCTCGGGTGATAGCATCTGGCAGTCCGCGGAGACTCGGGGGTACCATTTTTTTGGGTCCCTATAATAAGGACTATAGTATTTTGGGGGTCTACATTGGGGTCCCCTCATTTTGGGAAACTACCATATTAGGGTTATATAGGAAAAGCACATGGAAATTACTATATTCGTCAAGGTCCTAGGGTTTAGAGTCTAGGGCTTTGGGTTTAGTTAGGGTTTCAGGTTGCAGGTGAGGGTTTAGGGCTTAGCCTCCGGTATTTCAAGGTCAATGACCCTGGCCCTGCAGGGATTGAATCCATATGAGGTATAGTCTAAACTCCTTGAAGGGGTATATATAGGGGATTATGTAGGGGACTACTACAAGGTTATTAAGGGGGATACTAGGAGTTTTGACAGTTGCGATAACGGGCATTTCTAGTCTTTTTCATGAGCAGTAGTCTACACTCCTAATATCCCCCATAATAATCCCTATAGTAGTCCCCTATATAACCCTATATAACCCCCGTCTAGGAATTTAGACTATGGCTTATATAGTTTCCCTAGTAACGTATAGTAACTTACATTAAGTTCCGTAACATCAACCCAGGAAAAGGGAGGCGCAAGCTTTGAAAATGCGGCCCGTCTATCCACAACTGCACCTCACGCGGTTTAGGCTTTAAGGTTTAGGCCTTAAGGTTTAGGGCTTAGGTTTAGGGTTAAGGTTTAGGTTTCAAGGTTTGGGCTTAGGTTTAGGGTGTAGGGCTTAGGTTCAGGGTTTAGGCTTTAAAGTTCCCTTCAAACCGCCGGCTTCTACACGTACATATCTACTAAGCACCCTAAAGTCCCAAACCCTATAAAGCCCTTTGAACACATGAGCCCCCAACTTCCTACAATCTCTAGCAAACCCCTGGCCCCTACGCCTAACAGCCCTTTAAGAAACAGCTGAAACCTTTAGACACCAAAATCCTAGGCCCCCCAAAACCTTGCCTCAAACGCATCTGAAAGCTTTCAACCGTAAAATTCCTCTTGCCTCGTATTCACCCTTGGCAGCAGCGCTGGCAATCGCCAGTTCTTTGAGATAGAGCTCGCCTGAGATGAAGATGATCACAGGTAGGATTCAGAGTGCTGTACTTGGAGGCCCATGGGACTTATAAACTACTTATAACTGGACTTATAAGCCTACTTATAATTTCCCTAAATGGGCGTACAGGGGTTACCCTAATTATAAGTAGGACTAAAATCCCAGCTATAAGTAGTCACTAAGTCCCATGGGCCTCCAAGTAGGGTTTAGGGACCCTAAACCCTAAACCCTAAACCCTAGGGACTATGGCCTCCCAGTACATGGCCCCCCCACAGGCTCCCACCATAACAGCGGCTTGTTGAGGATTAGTAACTGAGGCTTCTTACGGGTAAACAGGGCCTGTTTAGCCTTCTTCGTTTTGGGGGTTTGCATATCGGGAAGGGAGGGGGGGGGACATGGCAGTCCTGCAAAAAGATGATCGCTCTCCGAGGTGTAGGGTTTTTGGAGGATTTTAGGGTTCAATGTTTGTGGGGTTGTTGTTGGACGTCCTTTCAAAAGAGACCCTAAATCCTAAACCCTAAACCCCTAAACCCTTAACCCTAAACCTTAAACCCTAAGCCCTAAACCCTAAGCCGTAAATTGAGGTCTAGTGTTCAGGGCCACGGGCTACGCAAGGACAACACGGGGTTTGAGGGAGGTCACAAGGCATACCTGAAGCAACCCCGTCGTCGCCTGCGGGTTCGATTAGGGTTCAGAGTTTAGAGTTTAGAGGTCTGAGTTTATTAGGGTTTAGGGTTTAGGTTTTAGGGTTTCGGGTTTAGGGTGCAGGGTTCAGGTCCCAATCCATGCTGCCAACCATAGCATCGGTAAGAAGTCGACTCCTGCGAAGGATCGTGTAAGGTCTGCGGCGACCCTAAAACCTAAACCCTAAACCAAACACCCTAAACCCAAGGCCCCAGACCTCTCTTCCCCGATGACCCGGGCTCAAGAAGCTTAAACTTCACAACAGACACCCAAAAAGGAAGCTCAAACATGTTGAAGTTCCTCTGTTGCCTTAGTAAGAAACCCGAAATTTTCTCAGCTACTTGGGGCTTCGGATTGATCATCCTCGGATGCAAGACTTTAGAGTTCAAGGGTTTGGCTCTACGTCGAAGGGTTTTAAGGTTTGGACTTAGGGTTCAACATTAGAGTTTTCACGTAGGATTCTGTTCTGCTCTTTTCTTCTTGTTCTTATTCTAGGGGCTTCTGAACATCGAGCTCCACTGCACGACGCCTTCACCACCAAGCTTTGAACAATCAACTCCGACTAATGAAAACCTACCCTAGCCCCCTAAGCATGAATATTCCCCTAAACCCAAACCCATAAGCCCTAATCCCTACATCCTATACCCTAATCCCTTTTGCACCGGTACTAAATGGAAGGGGGGGAGCCGGAGCGTATCATTAGGGTATGGAATGAGTGCGGAGCCCAGAAATGCATTGACAGCTTCGTAAGCTTTCTGGGGCTACACTCAACCCCGAACCCTGAACCCTAAACCCCAATCCCGAAACCCTAATCCCTAAACCCTAAACTCTAAACCTTAATTAATCCCTAAACCCTGATTTTTTCGTAGCAAACTTCAGGGGGGTCCTCTTATTCCATTTTTTGGCGGGGCCACTAGGGTTTAGGGTGTAGGGCTTAAGGTTTAGGGTTCAGGGCTGAGGGGTTAAGAGTTGAGGATTTAGGGTTCAGAGTTTAGGGGTTGGGGGTTCAGGGTTTAAGGTTTAGGCTTCAGGGTTTGGGGTTCTGTAGGGTCTGTCAAAATACGCCTCAG